TTCCTGCTAATTATATTCCTAGGCCGTCTTCTGAAGATGGAGCAAAAGGGATGTCCTGGAGAGCATAGTTCTGTGGATGGCCTCTCAGTGCTTATCTTCTCTTTGAATAAGGCAGTTAATCTTTTATGCTGAACTCATTTTTTGGTTTTCACTGTATGAACATGAACAATTTTGCAAAGCATGAATGTATATTAACTCTGAATTTTGTTCTAAAATAGAAAAGTCAACATCAAATTTGATCCATGCCAATTTTGCAATGTTTTGAAGGTGAAGAGAAGAAATGAAGTGTCAGAAAGTACTGCGGGGGAAGCATCAGTGAAGGGGAGAAGAGTGGAAGTCCGAGCAGAGATCTCATGCCGACAGTCAGGTATTGACAGGTCAGTTAACTACAAAATAGTCTTCCAGGGCACATATCAGTATTTTTAATGTCTCATGTACCTTCCTCATATTTCACTCCTGTGTAATCCTTTGCTCCATTTTATTTCCTCCTTCTCTTCCATAGGTGACAGACTCTAAGCAGCATTGCCCATACTTGCAGAAAAGTTGTCCTGTGCTCTCAGGCTCCCATGCCATTAACTAGAGGTCTCCCTGTTTGTCATCTTTGTATTAAGGGTATCAGTAGAATCACAGCAGGATGAGAACTTGGCATCTGGCTTGCAAACCTGAGCCAGGGATCACAAGGAAAGAACTGCCAACAGTTTTCTAGCTGCACCCCCCAGCCTGTTCCTCTGAGTGGGCTGATGAATGCTGCCTCTTGGCTTGAGGCTGAGATCTCTATCTGTTGATTTCACAGATTCATTGAGGCTGGACAGGACCTTTGGTATCATCAAGTCCAACCCCTCCTGCTCAAGCAGGGTCACCCAGAGCAGATTGCCCAGGATGTGTCCCTTCAGATTTTGAGTGGACTTCAAGGGTGGAGACACCACAACTTCTGCGGGCTCCTGGCTGCAGTGCTTGACCACAGCCACAGCTGCAGCCACAAAGGGAGCCCAGTCTGGGCAGAGCACACAGACTGGCCTCAGCAGGCCTGAGCAGAGGGGAGGGGTCACCTCCCTTGAGCTGCTGGCAAAACTCTTCCTAGTGCAGCTCTGGATGCTGTTAGCCTCCTTCAGCATGAGGGTGCAATGCTGGCTTATGGTGGATTACTTCAAGCTTAGTCCTTGATTACCTCTCTGAGGCAGGCCCATTATTAGTTACAGTCTAGCAGGCTGCTTTCTTTCATAGAGAATAGCTTTTAAAAACAGGAAATTCCTCTCTGTTCGCAAGTGTGTGGCAGAGAGTCCCAGATCCAACACTGTGATCAGAAATGTTTATTCTCGCCTTTCCCCTTCCATGTCCATGAACAGACCAAGTCAAATCATCTCCCTTGTTGCCTTGGATTTTCTTGGGGTGCTGTTGAGTGCTGAGCTCTCAGAATCTCCCCAGTGATACTCATCAGCTCAAAAAGCACTATTTGTATGTGAAGCCAGGATTGGTTTTCCCCATGTGCATTACCTTGTACCTCTCACTCTGTACAGAGTTTCCTCTGCCATTTTGTTGCTCCATGACTGCGTCTTGTAAGTCTTTCTGTGGTTCTTTGCTACCTGCCCTTCTCTTTGTGAGGATTTGCAAGCTTTCTCAACTCACTGCTCATCCCCTTTTCCATGTCATATAGCAGTTCTTCTCCTCTTTTTGCTTCCTTTTTGTGACTTTTTGTAAACTCAGTTCTTATTTGACTTATTTCTAGGACTGGAGCTGAGTGTGTTCACCGTATGAGTAAAGCAAAGCATGGATTTGAAATGGTAAGCTACAGAATATTCAGGAAGAGCCAACAGCTTCTGTTTAGTTCTACATTATTAAAGGGGCAAGCGTAAAGATGCTTTCAGGTAATTCTTGCCTTTTCACGTGCATCAAGACATTTGAGAGTCCTGCTCATCAAACTTAGCCATGAGTTTTACAGGGAGACAGCACAAGCATTTCTGACTGTCCAGCTACAAACTCTAGGGGTGAGCTTAGCTTCTCAGCTTCTCACAGGTGAACCTGAAGATGCTCTGCCTTGTCTTCAGGACTCCAGTCCTCTTTTACCTCAGATGCCCCTTTGTTCAGAACTCCATGAAGGGCCAGCAGTGGGTGCTAACACCTTCACATTGGCTTCAGTGTGGGTACTCATCACTCCACACTAGTGTCCTTTCTCTAGGCTTGTCGTGGTTCAAACCCAGCCGGCAAC